GTTCTCAAAAGGAAAAAAGTAATGTGCAGAAAAAACCATTATTGATTTTTCTTCTATGTTTCTCCTTTTTAAATCCTAGGTAAACCTACGCCTCCTACAATAGGATGCAAAGCATAAAAGATAAATTATCTCAGGCAAATCTAAAACAACTAATTTTGGTGGAATTGAAATGTAATTCAATGATAAAATCACCTTTATTATGTAACGGAGCTCTTGAGTTTAATTAGTTTCTCGCTTCAATATGAGTGAGGTTTTACTCTACTTCTATTTATTTTATTAGTTTTGGATCTTTTTCCCCCTAAACAATGTTAAAAACTTACCAAAATTATATTTCCTCTGTCCCATAATTATTGTCCACTTTGTCCAAAAAATTTTGTCCTAAAATTATTGTCCAATTTGACTTTTTATGGATTAAGTTACACATTTGTCCTTAGTAAAAAACATTATCCATAAAATCTTAGTGGTTAAATAATTACTTATGTAGGGGTATATCCGGTTGTTTAAGGTAAAATATAGTTAAGTTTGACTAAAAATAAAATCTTTCATTTTAGTAAAACTGGATAATAATTATGAGACGGCGTGAGTAAGAAAAATTGATATGAAATGGAGCATAACATCTCATCATTATAATCTCCTACTTCAAACAAATAAGTTCTTTTTTTTAAAAAAAAAAATTATTTTATTTAAATTTTTAATATCATTCATCATTTGTGAACATAGAGAGTATCAATAGTAGTATAGAAAACAAACATAATTACTTGATTCCAGCTGGCTTTAGAGATGTACGAATGTACGTAGGGCTGCCATTCTAACATGGTCATCTCCTTTTCTCCCCCTGATTCCCTTTAATATTGGCCTCGCAATTGTTTTTAATTGTTTTTCAAAATAGGTATAGGGAACGAAACGAATTAGCTTGTCTCACTAAATACCTCAGCGCCCCAAAGAATTTTAATAATCCTTTTCCCACCTCGAATAAAATGCACTAAACTAGTTGACCTTTTCTTATCCATTTTTGTCTTGTACCTTATGCTTACCGATTCTTTTTGTCCACTTTGATGGGAACTCCTAAACGATTCTAATATTTCGTCGGTCAATAAACAATTGTTGGATCAAATAATAAGAAGTTAATCTAATGCTGAATTAATTTCAGGCTAAAATTAATGCGCGACAAATAAGTATTTATAATTTTTGAACCTCTAATATTTACCCATAAAAATTAGTATGAATAATGTGTTCGCTTAAAAGACTTAATTTTGTTGCTCAATATTATAGAGTTATTACTTAGTAGACAAGTCTACTTAAAGAATTTTATTTAACTTTAAAAATGGCTATTCATATTGTAGTCTTAGATTTGAGATTTTTTTTTTTATTTAAAACCGTAAATATTCCTTTCGAATAGAGATAGAGATAATAGTAATAAATAATCATGATTTTTTTTTTCTCGAAATAGACAGATAGATTGTTACAAAATGTTAGCAATTTCCAGTGAAAATAACCACGTCAAATGAAATCATCTCCAAATTATACAGGGGTTAAATTCAATTTTTTTTACAGATTTCAATCTTTCTCTAATTTTGACGTTGGAACTTGAACACTTTGAAATTATTATGTACATATTCTTTCACCCTTGATCAAATTTAAATTATTACTGCGTTCATATATGCACAAATAGCGATATATGTTTGTCCCGATGGGGAATACGAAAGATCATCAATTAAATTTGTGCAAAAATAAGATCTGTCAAATAAACTCTGCACTATCCCAAAATAAGAATTTGATTTTCACACATAATAGCAAACCCGATTTTTCTTACGTTGATATAGAGGGAAAATATTTTTTTTAGGGCTTAATAGTTTTTTTTTATTTTTTATTATTTTGAATTAAAACTAACATTTTTCTAGATTTTTTTATTCTTATTGAGTGCATTTTTTTTTCTTTAATTGACTTCGCTTAATTAGTTACTCAGAAGCATCATCTCTACTTGATAATCTACTTTTCTTAAATAGACTGATTTTTTTTCATAAAGAAGTTAATGCATAAAAACTTGCGGCTGCGTAGACGTCCTGTGTGTACTGTCTGTAATAATTAATAATCATCAATACTCTTACTATACTACTATTAGTTTTGGAAGAAATAAAACTCTTCTTTTTTTTTTTTTTTGAAGAATTAATCAATTCCTTCGATAGGAGTGGAATTTGGAAATTCTGAGGTTACTATATAGGAGTAGACCTCCCTTATTTTTTTTCCCTTCTTAATTGAACCTAGTACTTCTTTTTCTTTATCCACCAGCTACCAAAGAAACTAGTGATACAGCTCTTCCCTTCCATTATGTCTTTGTCTTTTCAAATGCTTTTCTTCTTCTTTATTAAATGTTTTGCCAGGCTATAAATTACCGCGGCAGTACTCATGGTCAAAAGAGAAATTATTTCTATTTATTGGTTGTACCACGGAAAATGATATAGAGTTTGAAAATGTATATTTTGTTAACTCTTACTAAATTTTTAAAATAATCGAGTGTCATATACATCTAGATTACCATAACTGAAGAGAAATTACATTGTATTTTGACTACATCGCGTAAAATAATATGTTTTGAACGATGTAAATTTCGTTGACCGGAATAACTGTAACGAAAATCTCATTCGATACGCGTCTCTTGATCAGTCAATTCAGACGTAGAACCAAAGAGTTACTTCACATTTTAACTGAACCACGTAAAATGGCATGATTTTTAACAATATAAGTTTCATTGACCAGATTAACTGCAACAAAATTCTGATTCGACACGCGTCTCTTGATCCGTCACTCCAAATGTAGTACCGAGTAGAAATTACTTCATATTTTGACTGCACCGCGTAAAATAGTATGATTTGAACAATGTAAATTTCATTGACCGAAGTAACTACAACGAAACTTTTATTCGACACGCGTCTTTTCCTCAGCTACTTCAGAAGTGAAGATGAATTAAACGTATAAATTTCTATTTTAAGAAAAATTTGCTATTTTTAAAAATTTAAAGAATAATACATATCTGAAAAAACAAACCGTAACCGCTTACGTTATTTTCATGATCACTTTTGGATTAACCAATGAATACTTTGAGCAACCATTGTGATCTTAGGACAATCAAATATCGATTTTTCCCTCTAGCAAATTCGGTCAAAATGACCGAGGTTAACTTATAGAGTTGGGCAAGGGGTATTTTCAAAATAAAAGTTAATCAAAGAGGTGTAATTTTCGATAAATCACGGATTTGACCTTAAATTTGATATCCTAATGAAGAAATTGACTTCTTCTTTTCCCATTTTTTCCAACCCAAAACAGTAAAATCATGCATATTAAAAAAAAAACATCTCGAACTATATTTCTTATTTGTGCCAACTCGCCAAAAATCCATCTAACAAAACCAAGCTAGCTAGCCTCTTGCCAGTCAAATTAAGAGCCCATTTCCGGACACGTGGAAGGCATACACCGTGTTACCATATATTCACAATCACAAGTAATCCAATTATTTTAAGGGGAATGATATTCTTCCCTGCTTTTATAACTTTACTTATAACTCTACTTACACGTCAATCCTAATTGACACATCCACATCATCACCTCATAAATTTATAATTATATACATACTCCGCCTAAAAATAATCTTAGTATTTAATTTTTTATTTTTAATAATTCAACTAACAGAAATTGTAATAGTGAACCGTACAGTATAGTCAATCTCTAAGCCAGATTACAGGAGAATTATATACTTAAGTAGCCCCATCTAGCTTGGACCCTTGGTCCTAAATTAATAATAATTTACCAATTATACTAAGGAATTGCCCAATCAAAACTATAATTTCATTAAGTATTGTCGGCATAGTTAATGTCATGCCTACCTAGAGGGTGACTTGGGGAGAGAAGAAAATCATATAAATTTGACAAATTGGATTTCTTCATCAATCTGATGTTATATGTGACTAATAATATATGTGTCAATTTCTCAAATCATGTAACAAGTTAACATCCTTTACCGTGTTCAAAATTTACAAAATCTATAATTACTTTTTTTAATCATTTCTCCACCGTTTGAAATGATGATATTTTTCCACCGCGTCTTGGTTTCTTCTTATTACAAATTTAGTAAATTTACACGTAGTGATTTTTCACTTTGTGGATGACTTCTTTGCTTGGTGATAAATATGCACTTTTTCTACATATTAATAATTATTAACTTTTTTAAGGAAAAAAAAAAAGAAGTCAAACTAATAGATGTCACTATGCCGCTTAAAATGGCAGGCATCGTCTCTACATGACAAGCCGATATTGAAATAAGTCTTTTTTCTTTTTTTTGACAAAATTACCGATTGAGTAAGATTATGTGGTTCTCTTTTTCGTTTTATTCACACTGTAATGTTATCATCATGTATTCATATGTAGTAAGTAAAAGATAGTACTCCTCCCATTTTTTTTATATGTCTTTCTAGAAAATTCATCAAAACTTAGAAAACATTAAATAATGTAGTTAAAATATAAAAATACTTTTTTATTTTCTATACAATTCATCACAAACCAATAGAAATTCATTATAAATATTGTTTCATTCTCAATGCAGGGGTAACATTGGTAAAAAGTGGTCAAATATGCATCGATTTGTGAAAACGACATATATTTTAAAAAATTCATCAAACCCTAAAACGACATATATTTCAAAATGGAGGAAACAAGATTAACTATTTGGTTTCGTGTTAAACGCAACAGAAAAAATTGACATTGATTACCACGCGGTTTTGTGAGGCGAAATTGTTTTTATTTTAAAAGTCTTTTATACGTAGTATAACAGTAGTAATAATAACAAATAAAAAGAAGAGATCCAGAAAGGCAGAAATTAAGAAAGCAAAAAAAAGAAACACTCATGAAGCATAGAGCTGACTTTTTGCAAGCAATTGAGTAAATGCTCTTTGCTGTCCATTTTGACTCTTCGGATAGCCTCTTTTCTTTTCTTCTTATTATTTTTTTTTTTTACCTCTTTTTTTGTCTTTTATTTAATTTCATTTTTTTCTTGCAATTTTAGTCAGCATTGGTCTCTTCTCTATATAAAACTACTATATATAGACATGGGAGCCCCCATCCCTTAGACCATTGTCTCAGATCAAGTCTTCTTCTTCTTCTCAAACCAACATTTTTTTTTCTTCCTTCTCTCTTCCAAAGAAGAAGATCATTTTCCAGAAGAAGAAAACTCATCATCAATCAAGCAATTTGTACCATATTTTTTCCAGCTATATATCATCAATCAAGAAAGAAAGTTGTACCAGAAAGAAAAAAAAAATTGTTGGGTTGGAGAAAAAATAGCTCCAATCATCATCATCAAAAAATCATTAAAATGGGAAGACCACCTTGCTGTGATAAAATTGGAGTGAAGAAAGGTCCTTGGACTCCAGAAGAAGATATCATTCTGGTTTCTTACATTCAAGAACATGGTCCTGGTAATTGGAGGGCTGTTCCTACTAATACTGGTAAACACATATTTTTTTTCCCTTCATTTTGTTTAAGTTTTTTTTGGTTGGTGAGTTTCATAAATGTTTAGCATTCAATGCATTTTTTTAAAAAAAATTTTATTTCCACTCAGCTTTATCACTTCCACTTCCACTTCCACCTCCTTCTTCCCTCTTCTTATTGTTCTTCCGCAATTCTACTCCCATGGAAATTCAGAGAGATTTTTTAGTTTTTATACACAAGATTTGGATAAATATGTTAACCCTTTATTCCATTTTTTTTGGATGTTTTTTCTTTTGGGTTTAGGTTTACTGAGATGCAGTAAGAGCTGTCGGCTGAGATGGACAAATTATCTCCGACCAGGGATCAAACGTGGTAACTTCAGTGAACATGAAGAGAAGATGATTATCCACCTTCAAGCCCTTCTTGGCAACAGGTACTTTTACTTTAAATCCCATGCAAAAATAAATAAATAAATAAAATCCCATGTTTTTTGATAAATTATTGGCCTATCTAGCTAGATACTTCTCCAGATCTAGCTAATAATAATAGATTCCTCCATTTTCAAAACAATTTTTTTTTTTGTTTTTTCAAACATGGGATCTTGTGTATTTGGTTTAGTAAAGCTAAAAGATTTGGTAAATTTGTCCTTTCTATAAATTTTTAATAAGGAAAGTGGAGATTTCTTGATTTGGTTGATGATTTTATTTTAATCCCCTTTTTTGGCTTAACAGATGGGCAGCCATAGCTTCATATTTACCCCAAAGAACAGACAATGACATCAAGAATTATTGGAACACTCATTTGAAGAAGAAGTTGAAGAAGCTTCAAGGTGGGAATGAACATGATCATGATCATGATCACAGCCATGATTCCTCTGCTTCTTCTTCACACCATCATCATCAAGAATCAATCCCAAAAGGACAATGGGAAAGGAGGCTTCAAACAGATATTCATATGGCCAAACAAGCCTTATGTGAAGCCTTATCCCTTGACAAATCATCATCCAACAACAACAACATTATTGACAGCAAAATTATGACTACTTCTTCTTCTTCTTCTTTCACAACTCTCCAAGATTCAAAGCCGCCTTCTTCTGCTGCTTCAGCTGCTTTGAGTGTCCTAAATCATCATGGTAATCAGAATTTTGTGAAGCCTATTGTTCAGAGTTCTGGAAACAACCACAGTTCTACAACTTATGCATCAAGTGCTGAGAACATCGCAAAATTGCTCCAAAATTGGATGAAAACTCCGACAAAATCGGCTTCCGAAAACACCCAACAGAGCTCTGAGAACAACCCTTCAGTTGTGACTGTGGGTTCCGGCGGCAGCCCGAGTGAAGGGACGGTGGTTAGTACAGGCCCGATGACGCCGGAGGCCGGCGGCGGTGGCGGCGGTTGTTTGGACTCATTTCTCAGCTTCAACTCCACCACCACCACAACCGCCGTCGCAAGGCGGTCTGATGTCACGGTGGCTCATCCGTCTGCCGCGGCCGCGGCGGTGTCGGTTGATGAGGTCGGGAATTATAGGCACAACAACAACAATAATTACAATCATGATAATGGGTTTTTCCAGAATAACAATAACAAGGTCACAAATATGGAGGTTGGTCAGAATAATCAGATTCCACCTCTGAGTTTTCTGGAGAAATGGCTGTTGGAAGATGCTGCTGCTGCTGCTCAAGGACAGGAAGACCTAATGAATATGTCACTTGGTGAAACTGCTGATTTGTTCTGAAGAATTCAGGAAATTTGGGTTAAAAAAAGTGAATTCTTCATAACAACTTGGTAGTTTTTTTAAAAAACAAATTTCGGGTTTTTTTTTTTTTCTTCACCATTAGGGACTTCATCAAAACTAAAAAAGTACCAAAACTGATCTTTATGGGCTAGTTCTTTCTTACAACTTACTGTTTTTTCTAGCACAAAAGAAGAAAAAAAGGAAGAAATATTTAAAGATGATGATCAAGCTGAAATCTAGCTTGGGAAGATGATGATCAAGAAGTGTAAATTAAGTACCATATATATATATGTGTAGTGGATATTTGCATATGTATGAATTTTAGGAATTATGAAATCCTCAACTCCCCCCTTTTACTATCTTTTAGTCTTTCTTTTTCTTTTACCTTAGGAGAAAGAGAAGTGTTTTAGTGTACTTTTTTTGTATCTTTGTCCATACTTTGGTGGATATAATTTCAGAAATGAAAGTTTAGTTTCATCATCAAGACTCTCAATTTTCTTTTATTTTCAATCGATTTCCTTTTTCTTTAAACCTCATTTAATCCAAAAGGTTGGCATTAACAAATGGAACCAAAGATGGAATTTGAAATCTTCAAGCTACAATCTCATAACTTAACTACCTCCATATCCCTTTCATCCAATTTTATCGAGATTTATTATTGATGGTAAATTAAGTAATGGTTACCTTAACTCGTTTTAAATATGTTTATTATGCAGAAAAAGTCTAATTATAATCGTTAACGGTACAATAAACAACTCAATGAAAGAAAATAATGCGTTGTTAAGTCACTTTTCTAAATCCTTACAAGTATGAGATTCTCAATCAGTTAATGGAACTACGAATTATTCCACAATTTATGTTTTTATGGACACTATTTTTAAAGTCCAGATGAATTATTTTCTCATATTTTGATGAAATAGGGATGAATCAAACAAAAGCAGAAAGTCAGAAACTAAAAAAGGATGTAGTTTTATCATGTCAAATTTGTTTTAGTGAACTTCAATAATCCTCCAATATTTACACGTAAGCCCTCCTTTTTTCCCCCTCTCTATTTCCCCAGTAATGTCCTAGTTAAATCGATGGCTCATGATTTTCTTATATATAATAATGTATACCGTATTTGAGTCATTAATGAATCGTACGTCATGTGGAAATTCATACAAGTGTGTTCATTCTCTTTAATGTGAACTTATCTCTATTCTCTAATACAAATGATGTAACTCATCATGGCATATGCCAAAAAAGTTAATTGACTTGTAGTAACACATTTGCACAGAAGGAAAGAGATGGTACAATATAGAAAAAGTTTTAAAATTATTGAAATTAATATTGGTAAATTGATTCATGTGTGAACTTTCTCTATGTTGCGTTTTCTCTGGGGGAGACTGTTTTTTTTTTTTTTTTTTTAGAAATTCCAATATGTGGTAGAACAATAAAAAGAAAAACACTAATAATATTTTCTCATATATGTTTCCAGCCAAAATTAAGACAATCCTAACTATAATTTGATAGTTTAGTGATATTTACGTAATAAAATAACATATCAAACTTACATTTTTATAAATATATACATATATATACATATATTTTTTATTATATAATAGAATATCCACTGTTGGCTACATCAAATACTTTGTTGAATCCATGTCAGTTTGAAAGACTCATTTTCCATATAACAGAATATACCAAAAAAAAAATTATGTTTGTAAAATAAGTGTATACATCCATTTTTTAAATTTATATCATTTTCTCTACATAATAAATTAATTTTTATTTATTTATTTTTTTTTGTTGGAGGGAACTCAATTTCATCTAAGGTAAAGCAAAAACGTTGTTAAGAACGACAGAAGAGTCTAGAACCTCTACACACAAGATTGATGCATTCGCAAAAACAAAATTCAATCCCCAGCTATACTCCAACTTAAAATATGTAATTTCTTTACATTGATCATTTTAAGTGACTTGAACTCTCACCTCATTAGAATATGTACACGTTAACTACTAGTAATTAGTACTAGACTAGACTACGCCTAATCAATTCCGTTTATATACTGCTCCAACATTTTAGCTTGGTATCACATTGTTTCACTTCGGTATTCTCATAGTAAATAGTTTAACTAAATCCTTATCACTCCGAATTAATTAAACACTAGATGTAACTTAAACACTAGATTAATTAAACACTAAATAGTTAAACACTAGATGTAACTTTCTTTTCAATATATTACGTACTCGTTTTCTGAAATCATTGCTTTGACTAATTTAAATTTAATACTTTTCATCATAAACATTTTAATCACTGGTGCATGCATATCCATGTTCGGGTTTGATCTCGGACCATAGTTAATCTAGTCCCATACCTTTACTATTTGAATCAAGTATTTGTTGGTATTAAATATATCTTTTCAATATACTTGTTAACGGCTTTTTTAGCTTGACCAAATAACACTACAAGAAAACAACTGTTTAACCATAAACATGTATCTGTGTAATTTTGCATTGCAGTCCGTGGTAACATAATTTGTCACGAATTTGTTCACAAACACTTTTTTCCCAAGCAATTGAACTATTACTTTCATGCATCCCTTTTTTTTCAATGCTCATTTTATTCTTAATTAGATAGTACGTCCTAACTAATCTCGGAGCGAACTAATCTCTGAGCGATTGAAGAAAAACTATCTTTAACCTGTTGACCTCCTTATTCACTAAATTGCTAACAAGTATTGTCTTTGTCTGAAAATACAACAAATATAACAGTTTTTTTAAATCAACAAATTATATAATGGTTGTTTCGGGACAGAGTAACAAATTATCAAATCTCTTATTAAATTAAGTATAGTTGTTGTAGTTTCGTGCATTAGGAAAGATAGTTCGAATTTGCTCCTCTTTTTTTTACCGGGTACGGAGTTCGAATTTAGTTGTCAACTTTTTATTAATCGTAGACGAGAATTCGTCAATGTGATATTCCAAAAACTTAGGTTAGCACGGGAGGAGGAGACAATCAAGTCAACAAGACAATAATTAAGGTCCACCGTTTAATTTCTATCACCTCCTACATTGTTACTGTCCAAAACAGTCTATGAAGTACACATGTACGGGGAAGAGAGTATACAATTCAACTCAGTTTGTTGGGAGTGTTAGGGAAGAAATAAAGAAGCAAATCAATTTTAAGTCGCATTTCCATGAATTTTAATCTTTTTTTTTTTTTTTTTACGAAATGGTGATTCTTCTGGAGTTGTGGTAGTTCATTAACAATAATTAAAAAAAATATTTAAAATTAATCCCTAGTCGGAAGTTACACAAAAAAAGGAATTTCACGTAGAGAAATACCACGAACCCTCATTAAGAAATTATATTTTTGGGATGTTGTTCTAATTTTTAATTTGTTCTCATCATGTGTTAGTTAATAATTTGACTCTCGTTTGTGTGTATGTTTTATCACTCACAATATCACTTTTAAATTTCACCGTAGAAGTAGAAGTTCCAACCTTTTTAGATATATATTTTTTGTTGAACTTTGAAGGCATTTGCAATATTTGCAGTTTCCGATCAAGGTGAATGTTGGGCCGATTTTCGGAAAATGTAAATTGAAAGGTAATCTAAAGAAGTTTAAAGGCAAAAAGTAAATTGAGAGAAGTTTAGAATTCTTAATTCGAATTGAATCGACCATTTCATAAAAATAACAATATATTTTTACCGTAACAAAAAATATACTTCCTTTGTCCCAAAATTATTGTCTAATTTGAAATTTCACTTTTAGTATAATTTGAACTAGAAATGTAAACACAAACTAAACAATAATTATGGGACGGAGGGAGTATATATTTTTACTATCCCACCTAGTTTCATCCCAATAAAATGTTACTTCTTCTTGTAAGCTTAACTCTCTTTGCAGGCTAGCTGGCTAGCTTACGGAGAACACTCAAAAATGGATATTTCATATAACTTATGAGGTGGGTTCAATACGAAGTGTCAGTCTCTATTTGAATAAGTCAAGGAGTTGTATTATGAAGAAAATTTTTCTTCTTTAAAAAAAGACTTTAATGACCTGAATTTAGCAAATGCCAACGCACAAGGAAACTGGATTAGGCAGCCCATCAACCTCAATCTTAGACAAATCAAAAAATTCGAATTGAATAAATTATTTGATCCAAGCAAACTTCATTACCAACAACGTTGTGGTTAATTTAGTGATAACCAAATCTTATTCGGAAAAAAGTATTGAGATCAACTTTATACTTTTAACATATATTGTTATTGACATTTCATTGACTTATTGGAGGCAAACCCGATTAGTATTTTATGAACCAAACTTTATACTGACTCTATCACCAAAAATTATATTCCGTCCCACAAAAATAATCTACATTGAGTTTTCAAATTTGTACTAAAAATAGTACAAAACTCAAAATTCAATGTGGACTATTTTTGTGAGACGAAAAGAGTAAATTAATTTATATTTCATCGTGATTTACAATCTATTGCGTTTTAACTATTTCTAGTGGGGTCGAGCGTTACTAAAAAAACACAACTTCACTAATGAATGGTTTTTTTTTGGGTACGTGGGAAATCTTTAGGGGAATCGAATTCCCGCTGTATTGATCAGTAGGGGGAAAATCTGCAGCCAAAAATGTGCATTGGAAAATTGCAATTCTTTTGTCTCATCTTAAATGCAATGGCATGTGGGAAAGATTGACTTTGCAATTTGGTTTTTTGGTGTTTCCGATTGATCCTAACCACTCATATACACACTTACAGCCCATAGAACAAGGGCAAAGGCAAGAAGAAAGTCCCTCACGCTTAGTAAGTCATGGGAATGAAACAACATCCTCAAATTGATGAGGAAAGTGAAATTGCAAACCCTCACTTTTTTAAAGAATTGCTTACTTATTTACACCAAGAATTTATTGAATGCATCCACATTTGCCTGCTTCAAAGGTTGTTGTTACATGGAGAATATGCTCCATGGAAAAAACGATGAAACTTCCCATTCATAGGAAGTTCTTTTATGCTCTAGGCTACATTTATGGTCTTTAACATTTGTGCACATGATGCCACTCCTTTCGTCCCATTCAACCAGTTCATTCATACGTATTGGACTGAAATATACAATACTCCTTCCGTCCCACAAAAATAGTCTATATTAAGCTTTGAATTTTGCACTTTTTTAGTACAAATTTGAAAACTCAAAATAAACTATTTTTGTAGGACAGAGGTAGTGCAATAAAATACACTGTTAACCTATATAATTTCATTCATAACAAAAGAGATTTGGTAGAAGTAACATTCTATTGTGCTGTATGGATAGGCAGCATCCTTAGTACTTTGCTTGATATGTTAGTCTATTGCCTTCACAAATCCCAGATACGTTAGAAATTTCTTTGTCTTTGAAAGGTACTCCTTCATTTTTATTGAATTGGACTTTAAAAAAAAATGGAGAAGAGGGTTATTCAAAAAATAATAATAATAATAAAATAAA